TCAATCACCAAATAGTAACTTTAAAATTAATTTTTAATTTTTTAAACTTTTTTTTTTAAAAAAAAGACATAAATAAATAAATAAAAACGAGTTGAATTTTTGTATTAATTTTTTACCTTTTAACTATTTAATATGTTTCCAAACAATGCTTCAAATTCAAATTTTTTTTTTTGGAAAGCACCAAAAAAGTCAACTTTTAGTTTTTTACTCATTTTGAGTCACATCATCTCTCACATTTTTTATCTATAAAAAGACAAAACAAACTAAAAAAACTAAAAAAATTAACTTTTTACCAACTTTCTAACACCACTCAATTTACATAGCACACGAGTATTTAAAAAAAATATTCAAATTTAAATGATTTTGTTGTTAAACTTTTTTTTTGGATCATTTTTAATTTATTTATCAAAGTGTTGAAATGATAAGAGTTTGAGCCTATAATCAATGACTTAAAAACATGGTTTTTTGTAATTCACCAAAGTTAGTGTTTTAAAATCAATAATTTAAGCTAGGTTTACAATTGCGACTTTAAGTTGGATTTGCTGCAATTTATTTTATAGTAAATAAATAGGGATTTTTTTTTTAAGGTTCCTGGTATTATGATTTTATAGCATAAAGGACACCAAATATTTTCATAATGCCTAAGGTCCCTCAACAATATTTTCATAATGTCTAAGGTCCCTCAACCTTGATCCAGAAAAATTTCAGTCTAGAGAAATTTCAGTCCAGAGAAAATTGGTCCAGAGAAATTTCAGTCCAGAGAAATTTCAGTGCAGAGAAAATTAGTCAGAGAAATTCTGACCCAGAGAAATTTCTCTGGAAGAGTTTTTCTACTTTTCTTCTCATTCACATCCAAATCATTGTGATTCATTAGGTAAGCAACATTGTTCAACTGAATTCAACTGGAAAAATTCCACATTGTAATATGTAAGCAACATTAGAATGGGATAACAATGACAACTTACCAGAACCAGAGAAATTCTTGAAAAATCTGAGTATTTCTCTAGTTTGTTATTGAAATAACAATTGAGAATTTCTTTGGTTTATTAAAAATAACAATTGAGAATTTCTCTGGTTTATTAAAAATAACAATTGAGAATTTCTCTGGTTTATAATATTTTTTGAAAAATTTCTGCAACTTACCCAAATCTGTTCTTCGCTTTTTTCCAGTTGAATTTTTCAATCGAAAGTGTTTCTCTGTTGAACAATGTTCAACTGAATTCAACTGGAAAAATTCCACATTGTAATATGTAAGCAACATTAGAAGGGATAACAATGGCAACTTACCAGAACCAGAGAAATTCTGAAAAAATTCGAGAATTTCTCTGGTTTGTTATTGAAATATCAATTGAGAATTTCTCTAGTTTATTAAAAATAACAATTGAGAATTTCTCTGGTTTGAGAATTCACCAGGTTGGTTCCTTTCATTTACAAAAACATTCTGTGAAGACCAATCAAACATTAGCCAAAAAATATTAGCCAAAAAATTCTATTTTCTGTCACCATTTGAATCCGACCACTTAGCTTACTTGATCTTCTCAAGCTAAACCTAAGTATCCTTGGACAGCTGCATTCTCTCAACCTTCAAATGTCAACCACGACAGCTTCATTTTTTGAGCTTCACACCGCACACACACAGTTTCAACCCATGCACATACACAACCCATGCACACAATCACACACATACACGGCCCACACACACACCACAACACACAGATAACTAGCTATATCAACATTACCTCTCCAGAGAAATTTTGAAATTTCTCTGGATCAATCCAGAGAAATTTTAGCGGCTTGGTTCTTCTCTGATCTGTCACTTATATACTCTATTACCTCCAACTGCTGATCCATCCGAACAGCATTCTAGGTGAATCTGATTTTGGATCTTTCAATTCTCGTGAATCTGATTTTGCTTTGGAATTAGGTTTTGTTGGGAAAGATTTCAACAGGAGCCCAAAACGACTTGAAGAAGGTGACCAAGATAACCTATGCTCAAGTGGCGATCTATGGTTTCAACGATAAAGTAGGTCTTCTCTCATTTCCTCAAAGAGAGGACATATTTGAGATGACGAAGTCGTACAACGGCAAGACCGCTGCAATCATCGACAACGAAGTAAGAGAATAGGTGGCAAAGGCATACGATCGCACGTTACAGTTGTTAGAGCAGCACAAAGAGCACGTAGCTCAAATCGCAGAGTCGATCGATGTGTCCCTGGCGGAGGAGCTGAGTGCAGAAAGGAGAGCAACTGGTCAAGGGTTGGGGATTTGGAGCCAGCGGTGATCAAGCTCAGGACAACGTGGATGGAGAGGCGATGGGGTGAGGGACCTTAGACTACAAAAGAACAGATTGTGGACCCAATCCATTACTAAAAGTTGGATAGGGACATTAGACCGATTTTTCCTAAAAAAAAAAAGTTTTGGGGTCATACAACTGTTGTGTCCCAATTGCTACATGTTAACAATTAAATTTCAACCAATATTAGGTAGAAAACTTTAAAATAAATTATAATGCATATGAGATTTTAAAAACTTATGAGGATATTTTCTTAAAATAATAATACCCAAATCTAATGTGTTGTTCTTTATATGTTTAGTTTATCTCATTAGAATTGTCTACATTATGCATTCTCACTTCAACAAATTAAAATTTTAAAATAAAAAATTTGGAAATAAAATTACTTTTTAGAATAAAATATTTTAATTATCAAAAATATCATTTTTATAATTTTAATGACACAATTAGTTTATCTCATTAGAATAATATAATTACAAACTCATATTCATTGGATATCTAAAATCTTACGCCATTAGTAATGCATAGCCAGTAGACCAAATATCCTCACTCAACTAAAAAAAAAAATGATTAATGCACCGAATTTAAATTTGTCCAAATAGTTCGAATTTGTGTACTTGGACGACTGGTGCAACCTTTGTCAATCGTGATTGTCACTCTTGTTACTAGATAATCGGCCGGATGACCGACATGTATAAATTCAGACGATTCGGATAAATCAAAATTCAATAAATGTGGCGTTGCTCAAAAACGAATTTGATTGGTATTTTTATTTTTTATTTTTTTAAACCACAAGCAATAAGGACATAGACACATACCCAATCAGAAGCAATCAAGAATTTGACTGGTCACTTCGTTTTTTATTATAGTTGTTTTGAGAAGTTGGTTAAAAATTAATTTTTTAATTTTTTTTAAAAAAATTTATAAAAAAATAAAGGGAAAAATACCAATAAATTTCAAGTTTAGATAGTTTAAATCATTTAGTCCTGCAATTTATTTTGTAGACTGATTTGTCCTATGTCAATGTTAATTACACTTGAGTTCACGAATGTAACGTATGGGTTGGCTGTTTAGAGGGGTATATTGAGTGTTTAGGTGATATTGTAGTTACTAAAAGGTCCAAAAGTATACTATAGCATTTTTTTTCTTTTTCCCTCAATTGCGAACAAAACGGAAGCTCAAAAATGGGAACGTCAACATTTCCTTGATGATGTTGCAGTGTTGATCCTCAATTTGTGTGAGTTAAACGTTGGATTTGGAAACGTTACACCCATAATTCGTTATTCCCCAAATAACATTACAAAACCCCAAAAAACCCTAGAAAAATCATGGAAACCCCTTCTATCAAATTTATAGAGGCGAAGTGCTGTGGGCATTGGGATATCTTGGAGTGCGATGAACATTGAGGACGTAACGTTTGTGATTTAAAATTAATCCGGCGACGACATCGTTGATCATGTGTTAGTGCGATGACAACAACTATGGGTGTTTTCAATGTTAGTTTGGTTGTTTGTGGAACAATACGACATCAAGGTTAATGCTCGAAATGGGTTTTTGTTTAATTGGCGCGTCATGTGGGGTTTTAGGTGATCTTGTTCATGTCGTTGGTTTGGGGTTTACCATTGATTACAAATGTAATATTGTGCATGTTTGTAATGTGACAGATACATGATTTTATTGGTTAATGTTGTAATATTTTCACAGGTTTGGGAGTTACCAGTGATTGCAAATGTGATGTTGTACATGTATGTAATGTAATAGACGCATGGTGTTGTAGCTAATATTTGTATGATTGGGTGTGTATTTTGTAATGTTGAGGGCTAGTGCGAAGATGTATGCCTGAAAGTGTTGGTAGGGTTTGGTGGTGGTAGGGGGGTAGTGGCTGTTTATTGTTGGACTTTGTCGATGTTATGTTATGTGGTCGGTGTTTGGTGCTAATGATATAGGTTGTTAATGGGAGGCTTAATGGTACGGCAATATGGCTCTGGACTGACGTTATGTAGGTAAATGTGAACGTTACAACCCATATACCTCCCTAGAAAAATGCAAATAATTTAACATCAATAATGTAACACCAAGTAGGTAACATCAATAATTCCCACAATCACTCTATGAAATCCCTAAAAAAACAGAAATATCAAATAACTCAATCTAAAAAAAATCAAAAACATAATCACAATAAGGAGCAAACAAGTAAACTCAAATATTACTAAATTAAATCAATAATATATATTACAAATAAAAATGGCTATTTGGTTTGAAAAAACATATAAGAAAATGGACTAATATTTCCCCCAAATGGAATATGATCCAAAATAAATTAAAAGTCTTTTGACTTTTAACTTCCAAATTAAGCCTATGTCTTAATTATCTCAATGGATAGAATTGACACACAAGCAGTGAAAACTCATCAAATTATTTAAGTTTCGTTTGGTTTTAGATTTTTAGCTAAAAAAAAGTATAAAAAGACAAAATTAGCTACATAAATTCAAGGGCGGACCCAGGATTTGTCAATGGGGTGGGCTAATATTAAGGTAAAATTATACAATATATTATAAGTATAACCACATAAGAAAAAAGAGAATTTAATAACATAATCTAAATTAATATTAAAAACAATCTAACAAAGTTATGCTCGACGAGTCTTTAAAGTTAAAGATTCAAATTCATCGATTACAGAATCTAGATCAATTTTCAAAGTAAGGTCTCATTCAAAGTAAAGAGACAAGCAATCGGCAAGAAACTCATCCCCCATTAAATTGTGAATGGCAGTTTTAACATGCTTCATACCCGAAAATGCTCTTTCCGTAGTCGCCGTAAAAACAAGTAGGGTTGACACAAGACGAATCAATTTGTAGATCATGGTGTAATGCTCGAACTTTCTTGTCACAAATAGTTCTCGGCACAATTCAACAAGGGTATATTTCTTATGAAACTCGGGATCACAGACAACATCAAGCTTATAATGCATTAATTGACATCTCAAAGCATGGATGTCCTGAGAAGTGAAATCTTGGGGATAAAATTTCTTGGCAAGATTTTGGCTATTATCCACATTAAAAGATTTAAAATTGCCACTAGGATCCAAAGCCGAGCTAAGAGAAAGAAGTTCCACTACCCCATCATTAAATCTATGTTCTAACTCTATCAATTGAAAATCAATTGTAGAGTTGAATATGTCAAAGTGATAATGACGCTCAATTGTAATGTGATCTTGTTGACGATGACAACTTGTACCCCTTTCATAAGGAGAACTCATATCATGCATCGCAATGTTATGTCGATTGCAAAATGACACCACATTTGCAAGAAAAGTATCCCAATCATCTTGTCCAAGTTTTTGAAGGAGAGCTTTTGTTGTGGAAACTAATTTCATCGCATTTAAGATGTCTTGAGTTTTTTGTTGCAAGGCTTGACAAAGTGTATTCACGATTCCCAAAATGTTGTCCATCAAGTGCAAGATGAATATGAATTCAAAGCTCTTCATTACTTTGTAAACACCATTAGCTTGCCCGCGAATTTGTTGATTTGTACTCTTATTGAGACTTTCAACAACTACACAAGATGCGTCATATATATCAATCAAGTTTCTAACAGATTCATAATGCAAGCTCCAACGAGTAGCTCCAGCTCGATGCAAGGTACCAATTTGATTAGCCCCTTTACCAGATTGACGCTCACCACTAGCCAACATATTTTCAACCTCACTCCTATGAAAAGATTTTAACTCACCAAGGCGCTTTGAAGAAGAAGCAACAAGATTGACAATACAACTCAAGTGAGAAAAAAATTGCCAAACATTAGGCTCATCTTTTGCTGCCGCAATTAAGGCCAATTGCAGACGATGTGCAAAGCAGTGTACATAATATGCATATGGGCAATCTTTAAGAAATAAAGCTAGAAGTCCATTCCATTCACCACGCATATTGCTAGCACCGTCATACCCTTGATCACGAATGTTTTGAATAGGGAGATTAAATCGAGAAAGGATATTTGATATTTCTTTTTTAAGAGTCAATGCATATGTATTTTCGACACCCACAATATCAAAGAACCGTTCCCCTAGCAAACCATCATTCTTGACGTATCTCAAAATAAGGGCCATTTGTTCTTTTTTAGACTCGCCTTGGGATTCATCAATAAGAATACAAAAATAACCTCCTGCAATTTCATCAAAAATCATATTCCTAACTCTATTAGCAAGTATATGCAAAATCTCCTTTTGGATCTTTGGAGGAGTGTATTTGGCATTTTGTGGAGCATTCTTTAATATGATGCTCTCAAGTGCATCATTCCCTCTCTCCTTGAACTTTAATAATTCAATTAGATTACCTTGATTCAATGAAGTCGAGCTTTCATCATTACCTCTAAAACCAAGTCCTTGAAGAGCAAGTACTTGAAAAGCTTCAATTGTTGCCTTTACCCGCATTCGATTCTTCAAATTTTCTTTTTTTGATTGCGCATTCAACACTTTTTCAATGTGTTGGGAAGATTTCTTTAAATTGTCATGACTAATAACACAACGACTATGGGAGGAGGATGCAAGTCCAACATGAAGCAAAAGAACACATTTGGATCCATCATTTACTCTCTTCCAATTGTTAAACCCCTCATCAATAAGTGCAGAACGAATGATCGACTTATTTGGCTGATCAAACAAAAAGCATGGAAAACAATATGCTTTATCCTTTGAAGGAGAATACTCTAGCCAAGAAAATTGTTTAAACCAAATAAGTTGGAATCGGCGATTCTGCTTTCCAAATGAGGACCTAGGATACTCAAGTTTAGGTTGAGAAGGCCCCAAGTTCATATAAGCTCGTCTAACCTCATCTCGTTGATTAACCAGATATTCACACATTTGCAAGCGTAAACCAAGATCCTGTTCAATAACAGTTGAATCAAATTTGCTTGGTTTATTTGCTTGAGGCATGAAAGGCAGCGGTTGCACATCAGAAAATGAGGTTTCAACAACATTGGATGTTGTACTACTAGACTTCTATTTTGATTGGTAGAATGAGAAAAGGGTTTTGCCTTTTTTGAGTGGTGGAGGTTCCATTATTTATAACCTAAAAAAAAAAAATTAAAAAAAATTAGCCCTATTTAATATTAAACTAGAGTATATTCACAATAATTTTAAATATTAGGGTTTTTATATATATCCTCAATAATTTTTATTTAGGCTTTCATTATTTTGATATATGTCCAAAAAAATTGTTCATCAAAGTTCAAAAACTAAAAGCAATATAGAAAAAAAAGGTTAAGAGCAAAAAAGATTCTTTTGATTAAGAGCAAAAGAGATTAAGAAGAAAAAAAGATTAAGAAAAAAAATCCATTCAGGCCGTGAAGTCATGAAATGTCAGATAAGATTAAGAGCAATAAGATTAATCAAATCCATTCTCAACCAAAATAAGATAAAGAAGAAGGAAAAAAAAAGGGTCAAAGTCATGAAAGAGCAGTACCTGTACCACCGATGGGAAGGAGAAGAAGAGAAAGTGAAAAAGAGTCTGAGAGAAGCTGCTAATGGGGCTGCCTATTTATATTTTTGGGTTGCCTCTTTAAACAAATACAAACCTATTAGGCTGTCTATTTATTTTTTCGGGTAAGTGTTGGGCTACTGTTGGGCTGCCTATCTAAAAAACAAACAAAAAAATTATTGACCCTTATTTGGGGCTGGGTTGGGAGGCCGAGCTGGACTGGGAGACTGGGTTGGGATGGGTTGAAAAAAAAAAATTTACAATTTTTTTAAATTTTGGACTAGGCTGCAGCCACTTATGCCTAGCCCTAGGTCCGCCCTTCAAGCTCCATAATGAAAAAAAAAATGCTAATATATAAATAATATTTTTACATTATTTAATATGTAAATCATATAATTATTCTATTATTTAAATAAAAAATAAATGAGCTGAGTTTATTCGAGTTTGAGTTTGAACTTGAGCTCGAATCATTTATTAAACAAGACTATAAAAATTTAATTTGAACTCGTATATTTACTTAACAAATCAAATTGAACCGAGCTCACAAATAATATGATTCATTTGGTCTTTCCAATGTACTTAAAAAAAAAAAAATTATGATTCATTTACAACACTAACTTGAAGGGTATATTTTAACAAAATTCATATTAAACAACAACACTACAAATCCATTTTTATCAATCTAAAATTTATCCAGAAAAAGAAATTAATAGTTCAAATTTATTTTACTTATGAACTCTATATTTTATCAATTTAATCTCCACTACGTAAATTTATTCGGGATAAATTATAAATTTATAAGGATGAATTCTTAGCATTTTTTGCTATTAAAACTTCGGATGCCCAAAAGCAAACAAACACAAAAGCTCCAGAAAACAGAGATGACCACATATGCTTACTGGGAATCACAAGAAAATGGTTCAGATTGAGAGCTAGTCCTACTTGCGTTTAATTTATCTGTCAAGAAGAAAAAAGTTTGGTTTGGACACATACTTTATAGTTTTAATAATGGAATAAGTATATATATATATATATGGAAGGACGCAACTCATCAGAGTTGCATTAAGTTGCACCCCGCCTCTTTCTGAGTTGCACCTCTCATATTTTGCTTATTTTTTGGTCTTATACTTTGAATTATATTTTTTCTAATTTAGATAGAAATTTGAAAAAGAAAAAAAAATTAAAAGAAATGGTAAAAAAAAAAAAGCTTATATTTAATTTATATTTCTCACCTTTTTAATTTTAAATTTTTATCAAAATTCATCCTCTGCTCATGTGAAAGATGGTGCACTTCAAATGCCAATTGTTTGTCAAATTAAATTAGATAAAATTATTAGTTCAATAAAATTGAGTAAAGAAATTACTAGTGTGGTAGTATTAAATTAGAAACAAATTGTATTTGTTTGTGTAGTAATATGATAATATTAGTTAGTTGAGATTAAATTTATGAATTTAAGTAAAAATTCTCATTATATATATATATATATAAAAGTTATATATTTTTATTGTACGAGCACGAAATAATCTTCACTCATATAATCTTGTTGATCAAATTTGCGCTCCTCCAAACGTTATTGTGACACCTGAAATCACAAGTATGAGCTAGCCAACGGGTGTGTACCGAAAACCCCTTTCGATGCCTAAGTCAGCAAATAGACTAAAGACGCCAAACCTCTGTGAATTCAGGAGTATGAATTGCAATACCTGGGATGAGGGTTTGGCTTGAGTTTTTGTAGATTCCTCATGGCACAATCCTAGTAAAACTCTATCTCCTTTTTAGAGTCCTCCTAGTAATCACATTCCTAAAGGATAATACTTATCATTTAACATCCTCTTCATTGCAAGCCAAGTGAGATAGCACAACTCTTTGCTCAGCTTTCTACCGTGCACTGGCTTAACCGTGCTACACACAACGCCGTGCATGGCTTACATGGCGCGCCACCATGTTGACATTGTGTGGATCTTCTCCTAGCTTAGTCAAACCTCCATTCTCAGTCCTTTGACTTCCTTCCCTTGTAGCTCGGTCAAAGTGCTGACTGCCATTAGGAAGTAGCTAGATCTAGAAAATTGGGTATTTACCAATTCGGTCAAACATCCTTGACCGCGACTAGGAAGTATTTAGGTCTAAAAGTATGGGTATTTACTAGTTCAGTCAAACATCTTTGACCGCCACTAAGAAATAGCTAGGTCCAGAAATATGGGCATTTACTAGTTCGGTCAAATATCTTTGACCGCCGTCCAACTTAGCTTTGGTCAAACCATTAATAGCCTTCTAACCAAGCTTCGGTCAAATCTTTGACCGCCTTTGAACATAGCTTCAATCAAATCTTTGACCGCCTTCCAACCTAGCTTCGGTCAAGCCTTTGATCGCCTTCCAACTTAGCTCGGCCCAATTTGGCTACACAAATTACCTTCTTAATTGTCTCTTAATTCTATCTATAGTGCATGATTAGGATTACTCTGTCTAGCTGAGCTGCTTTGCCCCATCCAACTAGGCTCACCAAAATTGCTCAGTCATAAATTTCTCAAAGTAGGACAATCCTACTATCCTACTTTGTCGAACTAACTAGCTCAGTCAAAGATTTCTCAAAGTTGGACAATTCTACCAACCTATTTTGCTGAGCTAACTAATCGGGCAAATTTTTTTCAAAGTTAGTCAAACTTGCCAATCTACTTTGCCGAGTTAACGAGCTTGGTCAAAGATTTCTTAAAGTTGGACAATCCTGCCAACCCACTTTGCCGAGTGTAGCTCGACTTTTTCGAGCCCCCTTTCGGGAGACGAATATAAGCCTCACAGTTCGGACTCCTACGATTCTGAATCTAATCTCACAAGTGCAATGTGAAATTGATAAACGCCAAAGAGTCCAAATTCAACAAATCTTTTGGAAAATCGATTTTAAATAAA